TCAATTACATAACATCCAGTATAAATACCTGGCACGTACAAATATACTATATTACTATAAATTTCTATAATGCTAGATTGAGATATGCATGTAGCTGAAGATCCACAACTACAATCACCATACTCATATGGAGCTGCATTTGTATAAATACTACCGCTTAATTGGTAAAGTGCATAATTAGTTAGTTGTCCAGAGAGTAAAGCATTACTTTGAGTTGTTTTTCTTATTGTTGAAAGTGATAAGGTAAAATCGTTAATCATTGCTTGTGTTAAGTCAGAGATTAAAGATTCAGTTTGTACTTGAAACATTTGTGAAGATATGACAGATGCACTGATATAATCACTTGCATAGAACTGAACTAAACGATTGACTATGGTTTGATTGACTAATTCACAAAATGCATTCAACGCTTGAAATGTAAATGTGCCCGTTGCTCGAAAATCTATGACGTAGATGAGACTATTTCGATACACTGTGTAAAGATAATCGAACCACTGTTGGGTGACAAAAACACTATCGCAAACTGGATGAAATGTGTATTGAAAATGAAGAAATTTGTCATAAGTAATTGATATTTTTGTGCATGGACATGTCAACGTTTGTGGATATGTTGCATATAGTTGTGAATATTGTGTGATGGTAGGTGTATTAATGTTGACAGTTTGTGTGACATTTATCAATGAGGTATACAAAATAAGTATGAGCAATGACATGGTTAATAAAATGATGAATAATCTTGTTGATATTCGTTGATTCCGAAGTTGATCTTCATCGGTCGAGGGCGGAATCGAAGGAAACAAGTTAAAGTTGAGAAGGAAAAATCGAGTCTTTTGCCATAAACTGGACGGTGGATTGGGAATTTCAGCTACTAAACGACATAAAAATGATATAGTGATGAGTCTCTGGTGCTTGAAAGATTTTTTTCTAAAATTTTCTATAAAAATCTTTGAAAACTGAGTTACGGAATAGTTTATAAGTGTGTTTCTTATGGTCATCATGTTTAAGGATTTGATATCTTTCTCGAAAAATACACATCACATATAGTATTCGTATTTTACGTAAAAATAAAATATTTTGGAAGCACATAAATATATCACAAGTATAGCCGAGGTAAAAATGCAATATATGATAGAAACGTTGTGAATCTGGACTTTTATATGAAAAAAGAAGTAAATAAAAGAAATACATACTCTCCATTGTGGGAACGGATCTACTCCACACAACGCTTAAGTAGCAAGCGTAATGTGAATGATGATTGCTTGATTTGTTAGACGATTCTATATATTGTAGGTTGCTGACTGTAGATAGACAATGGTTATTGATGATCTAGAATTAAATAAATGATACATATAAGTAGCGGTGCTCTTCCTATAGAGACTGTAGCACGACAAGAGTGTATCAACTTGAGGATGTGGCTGCGGCTGTGGGTATTGGTGCAATGTTGAGAGATGGTCGGTATTCACAGCCACACCCTCAAGGTCGTGTCACATTATCCTATTCTTGTTCTCGATGAAATGATTTCATTCAGTTCCATTCTCTCGTCAAGCCGTCTCATCCTATTCACTCTTATAAAATCATTCCGATTCAGTTTCAGGTATGATGCGATCACCTCGGTGTGTCTGATTAGCCCATTTCAACTACTGCCTCGAAATTGCAACAGAGTATACTTTTCATATTAATGGTAGATGCCCCGCTTGTGAAACATGCTAAATGTAGTTTAAATACTCCATGTTTATTATCTCTATAATTAATAGCAATCGATAAAATGAAAGTAGTAAGAAATATCGAAGAAACCGGTAGAATAAATTATATAATTTATAAGTAACAATCTTTCCTTCTTTTGTATTTCATTGACGAATTAGTCGAGGATTAGTTAAGTGCCATCATACTTACAAAACTAACAGTTATGAACTAACATTTGGCTAACATCGAAGTGCATTTGTAGTTTTATAAAAGAGTGAATCTTTACTGTAGAATTCATATGAGGAGTTAAACCATCTTATTTTTAAAAAATATCCAGATTTAATAAGGTATTATATGCTGACAATCCGAGACTTAATGGTATATGAACTTATAATAACAGTATTTGACTACAATTAATTCTTAAAGATAATATTCCTATATACAGTGAATATAACATGCTGAAGAATAGTCTTTGGATTCAGATCTATCAATTCAGTTGACTTCGAAAAATAACAATTACTGTTTGGTTATAGTTTTAAATATTTCTAATTATAAAATGATATCAATAAAATAAACATAGAATCCTCAATCATCAGTAAAGAATAATTGGAACCTATATTTATTTCATAACGCAATAGCACTGTTCTCTGCATCGACAGGATTGCTTTAAAAGAAAAGTACATACCAAAACGGTTGTTATTTTCTGAACTGCTTGAAGTGAATATGTTGTTTTCCACTGACAGCTAACAACATAAAGTGTTATTCCTTTTATACACGCCAGAAAGATTTTTTTTGTCATACAACAAAAAAGATTTTTTTGATTGTTTTTCTTAGGAAAAACGTATTCTCATTGGTGGAGTCAATTTTTTTCTCTCTCTTTGTATAACAACAGTAGAAAAAAGAATGATACGAGCATTCTGTTGTCTTCAGTGCATATTTTTTTGTACCAGTCAGAAAAAAACACTTTAGGCAGCTTTTACATTCTTATGTCTTTCTTGAGAATGATTCTTTATTGAGAAAGTTCGTTTATTATAATTAAAATCTTTTTTTCTTCGTTTTTAGAAAAGTCAAGCGTCATTTCTCCCGTTGATTCATCATGTTCATATTCACTTAAACTAGTTAAAATTCATTAACATTATTTATCTCAATAAATACTTTTATGAAGATATTTCAGTTAAATGGTTGGTAATCTCATATAAAATTTCGTTGTTGAATCAATCTTAACTGGAAAATAATAAAATTCGAAACCAACCGTTAGAACTTGCACGATCAAAAATAGTTTTTAAGATATAGACGCTTTCTCGATTTGATTTCTATTTAGGTTTCGATAATCTAGAAAACTCATACATATAAATCGAATGTTATAAATATTGTCGTATATATAAAACTAGTTGCAAATTGTTGGCTAGAACTTTCGAATGCTAATGCCACTCGGAAATAAGTAGAAT